GAAGAACTGTGTACCTTCTCTTGCAATATATGATCCTTTCGCCCTTGTTGATCCGGCCAGATTGGAGAGATTATTGGAACACTTAAGTCCACACAAGTAAGTCTGCGTACCTATTGACCTGTTGATTACTGCTTCTTTACCCCCTTTTTATGTATATTAAAGTGTGTTGTTTGTTAGGGATACCCCATATGGCAAGGCGGTCCCTGAAGTTGAATTCTACAAGAGAATCATCACTGAAAGAAAGGATTGGCCAGATTCGGACACTAAGTATGGCTGGCTGTGGGACGATGTAAGTTTTACACTTTTTTGTTGTGACTGAGTTATCATTCAGCTTGACGGCTGAGTTATTAGCTAGTTATGGCTGAGTTATGGATTAGTTATGGCTGAGTTATTAGCTAGTTATGGCTGAGTTATGGTTGAGTTATATATTGGTTATGGCTGAGTTATGACTGAGTTATGACTGAGTTATGATTGAGTTATGACTGAGTTATGACTGAGTTATGACTGAGTTATGACTGTGTTATGACTGAGTTATTGATAAATTATATTTGAGTTATATTTAACTTACCTGACGGTGTTTTTACAGCATGTGGCTGCGTATATAAGACTCCTCAGGAAACGGTTCCTTGTTGACCCCTGTCCATTCCACACCAAACGTATTGCGTTTATAGACCCGTGGTTTACTGCTTTACTCTTACATGAGTATACTACAACATTCAAGGAAAGACCACAAAGGTTTAAATTCGATGGTGGACCCTATGAGCTGGTTATGAACGGGAAAATGCCGCAAGATCAGCCCACTGGTTTGAAGTGGATAGAAGATGTGGGCAAACTGTATCTTGTTTTACAAACCGGAGGTGATCACTGGATTACGCTAGAAGCTGACCTGAGAAGGAGCCATATCGATGTATATGACAGTATTGTGGGACAGGTAACACCTGAAAGTGAAGCAAAAATCATGAACTCTGTTAAGCCGTTTGCGCAGATGCTTCCGGCAATGCTCAACGCTTTAGTCCCTGCTGAAATCCGTCCACATAGTAAGGCGATGTTTTCCTTCAGAAGGAAGAGTATATCAAAGGTCCCTCAAAACCGTAATCCCGGGGACTGTGGTGTGTACTCTCTCAAATATGTGGAATGCTTAGCACTTGGTGTTAGTTTCGATGGCCTCTGTGATGAAAATATCTAAGGTATACGGCTGAAGATGGCAGCAGACATTTTTGATGAGGCAGCGGATTATTACAGTCAGTTTTAGTAATAATTTGTTGTACTAGACTTATTATGATAATATGTAAATTATTGGAATCATGGATCATTTGTGGTTTTGTACATAAGTCTGTTATGGCTAAGTTATGGTCTCGTTATGACTAAGTTATGGTTATGTTATGTCTGAGTTCCGAAAGACAAATTAAACTCAACAATAAACAAGCATTTTAAATTGAACAATAAACTTAACATTATGGTATTAGAATATCTTAAAAAGTATCTTTAATGTAAAAAATAAAATTCACCCGAATATAAAAGATATAATGTATTAAATTATAGTATTACAAGATAGAATATACAATTATTACTAGGATTTATCTCTTTATTGGATACATAAGTCTTAAAAGGTATAAACAATAGCTAATTTGTTAATATTCATTTTCACAGTGAATAGAAACCTTAAATTCTTCTTATCTAAGTGTTCTAATAACATGAATGTATAAATAACCTTATATTTAAAATTCGAGGTTTGGCTGAGTTATGACTATGTTATGGCTGAGTTATAATCATGTTACGGCCGATTTATACGTTAGATATGGCTGATTTATGATTTTGATATTCAAATTCGGGGTATGGCTGAGTTATAGTTACGTTCCGTCTGAGGTATAACATAACGTTACGACTGAGTTATATAATGAGGTTTGGTTGACTTATCGTAAATTAAATTCGTGGTTTGGCCGAGTTAATTCAAGAAGACGTCGTTTACTTCTTTCTTCTCCCTTATAGTCATAATCGAGCGATTAGATTGGGGATTTAGGGTTCTTATCGATTTCTGGGATTCCCATCCGATTTCTTGGTTTATCTTCGATTAAAGAATTCTACTTCTCAATTTTAATATGAGCGACTACTCTTCGAGTACATATCGTTCAGCACATGGTGCTTACCCTCCAGATCTTCCGACGAATTGCGGATGTTGGTGTGGTAACGATATCATCACATACATATCGAAGACAAAGGAAAACCCTTACCGTATCTTCTATAGATGCTCGAATGCTTTGAAGGTACTAATTTTCATTTAATTTTTTATTGTTAACATATGGGTATCGATGTTGGTTTTTTGTTAATTAGAGGCCAAATGAGTCGCATTTCTTCAAATGGGTTGATGAGGCATCGGTTGAAGAAATTAAGATGGTCGACGCAAAGGTACAGAGAATAGAAGAAGATGTGACGGACTTAAGGCATCAACATACTCAAAATTTAGATCTCCAAAAAGAAATGTTTGACAAGCTTGAGGAAGAACTGAGTAAGAAGCTTGAAGAAAAATTGATGAAGAAGATTGAGGATG